GCCAGAGCTCACATGAACAGATGCAGTAGTAGAAGATTCACCTACAAAGTCAGTGTTTGTCCTGCAATGGCACTGTCACTAAATAATGGATATGAAAACACCTATCTTCATCTCTGCAAAACTGACTCTAGAAAGAGCGTTGTGAGATTTCCTCTTGATCATCATAGAGGTGCAGCTTGGAGGCTTTTTGGTTATTTTGTGGAAATCTTGTCAGGTGACTCAAATGTGTATGCTCTGTGAATCAGTTCCTCTGGTCACTGACACCAGTGGAAGCTATAGGATGCTACTGCTGCACTCTATTGCCTTATTTAAAATGGACCCTTTATTTATGACATGCAGTTTTTTGTCAGGCTAATGTTCGCCTGGTTTTAGAGCTGGCCTGAAATCCCCAGGCCACTGCAGTCAACAACAATTTTGCTACTGCTGGAGTGCTGTGTATTTTACAGACGGCACTGAGGGACTTCTATACAGTTTCTTACATTAAAGGCAGGTGAGAAGATACTGTTAGTATTATGCTATACAGTTTTAGAATTTTACATTTAAAAGTGTGATGTTCCTGCTCCATACCATGGACATCAGGAGGTGGTGAATGAAGACATATGACAGAATGTGAGGATTAGTCTCATCTGACTGTATTTTTCGTTTGACAGATTCGCATTCAATGAAATTATAAACCCCACATTTTTAGGGGGAAAACAAACTTTCAGTGAGTGCTTTTTTGAAATGTCAGAGAAAAAAATGAAACAAAACATAAATTAGCTGGTTCTGGCATTAATAATATGTTGTTGCTGGTCTGTTCTGGATGTTTGATATTCAGGTTTGGCCATCTCTGGAGCTTTAGTCTTACTTTGTTTAGTCATTTTTTTGATTTTCCCTCATTTGGTTGCAGTCATTCCTGACTGCCTGCAGCATACTGTTTACTGTGCTCCTTACTGTTAAGGCTTTTTTTTTTTTTTTTTGAGAGTCTCTGCTTCTATAGCAGATATTACCTATGGTGTTTGCAAATATTTGCCTCTTAAGAGATTTAAGGATTTTGAGATATAGCTTAGTGCTTTTTCATAACAACTGACTTGTATTTGCAAATCAATGACAGCATCTAACTCCTGCTTGGAGTTGATCCAAGGGTTTGGGGGCAGAAGATGCAAGTTTGGACCAAGCCCATAATCAAATACTAGTTTTAAACTTGTAGAGGTGAGAGAGACAGCTGAGAGGTCCTCCTTCTGGAGGACATGGCTGTGGGTTACTCCTCCCTCCAGGTTTAACTGGATGGCTATTTTCATCTACAGTGGAAGCGCTAAGCAGAGTTTTAAACACCAGGGCATGCTATGTTTTCAGCACAGGAGAGAAATCTCATGCCTTAAAGGATGGTGGTTGTGCTGGTACATATGCTCAGAAGCCGACAGTCAGGCAAGCATGTCCCTGGGCTCAGAGTCATTCGTTTCCACCTTCATAAGAGAATAGACCTGAAGCATCCAGGCTCCCCTCAACAAAGAGATGGAGATGATAAAGTAGAGAAGACCAGCCCTCTTCTCCCACAAGAGGATAGGAAATGGCCCCCACCATGATGCAGGCAAAGCAGGACACTGCTCTCTCCAGGTGCTGGAGTCACATGTGTGTGGGGCAACCGCTGTTGCCTGTGAGATGAGGGAGTAAAAAATTGTCTTGATTAGTAAAGACTGCATTCAGCAGTTCCAGTTTTCCATATTTCTTGTTCCTGCTGTCTAGGGTCAAGATTTTACTTGTTGAGAGGAATTTAATGAGTATTACTTTGTTTTAAATAGCAAAAGGAATTAAATAAATTAAGAACTTTCCTTTTAGCTAGAATTTTTCCAAATTAGCTTTCCTTTGAATGTATGGAGTTTTGTAAAGTAAACCTGACCAAAACTTCATTTTGACATACAAACCTGAAACTTCTCCTTTCCAAAAAGGTCAGTGTGCAACATCTCACCTTTATGAAATTGCTTTTTTTCCCTCAGGGTTTTCTGTTGCTTTTGTCAATATTATGAACCATATATTTCTTATAAATGTGATATTCCTTCCCCATGTCTTGTTCTCCCTCTAAGAAAATCACATGACCTTTTCAGTTACAGGAGGAGTATGGATCTGCTCCATACAGAATAGAGCTGCTCAGCCATGAAATAAGAACTATAGAGTTTATGAAGCTGATCTCCTTGTGGAAGCTGTGCATAGCTGTTATTTCCAGAAATGGGAGGGTAACAGAATGTACACGGGCTAGCGAAGAAAGAAGGCACTACCCCAAAGAAAACAACATTTGCATGGCTTCTTTCAAATAGGGGAATGACTGTTTCATAAAGGAGTTTCTCATTTAAACCCAGCTGTCATAGATCATTGTAGTATTTTTGAGTAACAGTAATTCAGGCAGGATTTCTGGGCTCTCTCCACCTCTTATTTTATACTGTCTTTGCAAGTACAGTTGTCTTTTCTTGTTGCAGAAGGATAACCTTAAGTCCCACAGTCCTTAAATCCATAGTAAAAGTGTGTCTACTATAATATTCCTATTTATCAGCTTGATTCACTCTTGGATTTTTTTTTTTCTGCCAAGCAAGTACCTAGTAAGGTTTTTGATGATAATTTTTTTTTAGAGTATTTTAATCATACAGAGAATGAATATGGCAGATCTGAGAGAGACCTGTTAAAAGTGTATGGGTTAACAGGAGTGTGTCATGGACAGTAATGTAGTATTTGTTACTGTAAGCCAATACTTTGTTTCCTCCAGCACATAAAGGTAACACTGAAAGTGTAAGTATTTAGTCATTAACAAAAGCTAATAATTTGTGTTGACAACAGTGTAAGCATGTTAGATGAGCGTTCACTTTCTGAGAAGGTACTTAACATCCCAGCCCTAAAACAAACCTCCTCATTAATGTGGCATGAGCCTGTGCAGTGCTAGATTAGCAAAGTGGAAGTCCCATGGGCAACTGATGCTTGAGAAAACACAATTAAGCACATAAACTGAAACCATTTCAAGCTTATGGACCTAAATTAATAGAACTGAACTGACTAAACTTAGTCACTTTTCTCCCAGTAATATGTTGTAAAGGATCCATATATAGGTATGAATTCTGATGACCAAAGTCTCTAGGGTGAACGTGGCTTCATATTGTTCTGGAACAAGCAAGTTTGTCACTGAACATGTGAGCGGTCTCCCCTGTTTCAATTGTAAAGTATCAACTGTGGGGTAAACCCACTGAGGGCTGGAAGCCTTCCTGATCATCGAAGTGCTGTGGATCTACCAGGGCTGGGACACAGCATGAGCTGCAAAGGCCAGGGCAGGGACATGAAGCTGCTGGGGCTCTTTTTGACCCCAGGGGGATGATGACCACTGCTCTGCACCACACACTCTGACTCTCATCAGTCTTCACGGTAGACTCATTAATATCTATTTCAAACATGGCAAGGAGGTCTGCAGGGGATGCCCACAGAGCTTGGCTGTGGTTGGCACATAGCTAAACTGGAAAAGCATGGCTGAAGGGGAACGTCCTTCTCTTTCCCATCCCAGCCCTCATGTTGGGATTCAGGCTGCACCATTGCTGCCCTTCCAAGCCACCGGCAAACTGACTGAGGGAGACAAAAAAAACCCACTAACAAAAACCCCTCAGAGATGGGTTTTGTGGTCCCTGAGTTCTCTGAAGGAGCCTGCCTTGGTTTAGTGGGAAGCACCAGTTGCTGCACACAAGCTGGGGCAGGAATATGTAGCCAGAGGTGGGCTGTAGGGGAGGGATTGCCCTCTCAACAACAATAAATGGTTATCTGACAGGCTCAGTTATACCATTAAACTGTATGGTAGCCCCTTACTTTCCAATAGTTCTTCCTTGAAAGTGATTCTTTCTGATTTTCCCAATAGTATCCATTATGTCTTTAAATACCTGAGAGTGCACTTTATCGAACCTGTACAATACAAATTTTCTGAGGATTGAGTGGGAATTACTTGTCAGGATTAAACCTGTATGAGCTGTGGGTCTGACACTCTTCAACGCTTTCAGGAAAAGACCAAAGCCTGGCCCATTCTTCTGCGTGAAGTCGCATCTCCCTTCTTCCCATACAGTGCTAAAAAATTGCAAGTTTGTGTCTCCTTCTCATCCTGCAAGATCTAACTCTGGTTATCTGAGTTAAGTATAAATACTATTATGCTAACTGCAGAGCTACAGAATAGCCTCCATCATACCAAATATCACACTCTGTGTAATGCAGGGAAGTAGTAGGGGCTTAATTTCTCTGATGGGGTATGTAGCACAAAACCAACAATGTAACTTGTCCAAAATTGTGCAGCAATTCTGAGATGGGAAAAAGAGGTAAAGTCAGATTCAAGACCATGACTATGTATACCAGAGAAAAATTCCAGTGGTTACACTTGTGGTCCTTACAGCAAGGACCTTTCCCTGCTGCCACCAAAATAGGAGCATTTTGTGAAGCCTTACAGTACTATGCTCCAATTTACTGAATTTAAATAAGGGGAAAAAAAATATGTGGAAGGAAAATCAGTCAGTAGGACAAGGGCAAAACTTTTGATTAAGAACATAATAAAAACCTCATGAATTTTGTGTTATAAATATGTGAGTTGAATTCAAGGCTTTATTCTGTCTACTGACATGCTGACTAAATACATAACTGTGAAAAGTAGGAAACAAATCTGACTGCTGGATATAGCTTATGATGGTTTTAAATTAATAAGGTGGAGCTACTAACAAGTATTTCAAACCTTTTTGTGAACACTATGTCACCAAGAAAACACATATGTGCAGCCAAAGTGCAAATCAAACACACATGCCAAATTCTGAAAACACAAGTTCTTCCCTTAAAGCACCTGTAGGAAGGATCAGTGCACAACAAAATACATTACATTGAACCTGTAGAAAACATGAAATGACATGAGGGATGGCTGGTTTTCCTGTTAGAATGTTTAAAGCATAACTTAAAATGCTGAATCAGTGATGAATTTTTTTCCAAAAGGAGGGGGGAATACAAGTGACCAGTCTTACCATTCTTGTCTGCTCTTCTTAATATCTAAACAAAAAGAAAGAGAGAACAGAATCACTTTTTTGGGGGTATGGGTTAATAGCACACAATGCTATATTTAGTGGACATTTATAGTTTGAGCTCTACATATCATATTTTCACAAGGCTGCTTAAAACTGAAAAGCCCTTAGTGTGTCTCCATCCCTCCCGCAGAGTATTGCTTTCTTTAACCCCTCCTGTGCTGTGTGCACTGGAAACCAAGACCATAATACAAACCACCTTTATTTTCTAGATTGTGCATGGCTTATAAGGATGATGTTCAGGCAAAAAACCTGACACTATATGGCTACCATGATACTGGATTTGAGGTTGAGAGAAGTGGCTTAAAGAAGCAGAGCAAGGATGATAGCTGGATGCATGCGCTGAGCATCTGAGATGGTGAAAAAGTCTCAGGGTTTGTGTGGGTGGAGGAAGCAAAGGGCTAAGTCAGGAGAGGAGCCAGGTGGCACGAAGGGATCAGACTGGGTGTGGGAGGCAGCGAGATCAGATGTGTGGGAGCAAATTTGAGGATTGTTCTGATAGAAAGTACATACCAGATACAGAAGAAAGGGGAGAGGGAAAGCATAGAGGTTTATAAGCTGGGAAGGCAAGGGAAGCGTGAGAGTGCCTGCTGTATGTCCTCCCCTGTAACACTTCTGCCATGAAAACTGTATGTGACCCCTGCTTATCCTCATGGCGTGCAGGTCTGCATTTTCTCCCCACTGCAAATAGCACCTGCTGGAGAAGCTATTTAAATAAGTAGGTAAGAGCCTGTAACTTCTTGTGCAAAGTCTGAAAAAATGATCCTGGGGGGTGCATCCTGTGAGGACAGGTGGCAGAGCCCTCCAGGCCCAGCCCTGCCATCAGTGGGGGGACACAGCACCAACCCATCTGGGACTGTATGCAGGTGCACTGCGTCTGTCTTACTGCCAGTGACACGCCAATGTGCCCGCCTGTCCCTGCTGGAGTCCCACCACAGGTACCACCACATTAGTCCACACTTGGAGAAGCGATCAGGGATAGGGAGTAGAAGCGACAGAGCGGGGTCTTCTCCAGTTTCTTTGCTCCCTGCTTTTCAGATGAGGTGGTTTTGCTGTGGCATGGGTCACCATGCAACACTTCAGATATGTGTAACTGCCATCCATTGTCACCGTGCTATGTTTCAAGATGTAGTCCCCATCAATACTTCAGCCTGAGCTGCAATGGGTACTTGTATGGGCAATGCTATAACAAGTTTAGGCATGGAAAGAAAACAAATCTTCTAGATATAGTTGCTATTGTTGTTATGAATACCATTCCAAATGGACACATGTATCTTTGAGGGCTGACAGCAATGGAAACATTCTCCAGTTTGATAAACTACTAGTAGTATTTAAACGGCTTCTGCAGCACATGCTATAACTGCTCTGCTCCTAAAGCGAAACAAATGAGAAACTCAAAGATCCAGGTGCCAAGCTCTGTCGGAGCAACTTCTTGACTGTATTCTGTAGGGTGAAGTTAACAGGGAACTAACAGAGTTGTGACCCACTTCACTTGTGGCCTCTAAGCTGAACTTTGCATTGGACTAAGTTTACAACATACAAAGTACAAAATAAACTTAGTAAGATGACATCTTCCCTCCCCGTATATCCAAATAAATCATATATTGCAGCTCTGGTTTTAGCATGAGGATTGGACTTTTTTAGGGCTTTTAAATTTTTACTCTTAAACTGGAAATTTTTGCCTAATGAGAACTAAATGCAGAGCAAAGGAAAGATCATTAAAAGCATGATTAAAATAAAATAAAAACTCTTTTTACAATCCTTAACAGGTAAAATACAGTCCTAGATTCCTGGAAGACTTGGCTGGATTTTTTGGGGAACCGTTGTTGCTCTTTTTCCTATCTCACTGGCAAGCAGCCTTGTTTCCTTTTTGCGTCAGCTGAAGGGAAAGTCAGCCTGCTTGTCAAGGTACCCACCACCATGCTCCTACCTACCTCCTGTAGGACCTAGTGCTGCTCAGGAGTTAGTAACTATATGTTAACAGATGGCAAAGCCAGAGTGCTGAAAGCTTTTGCAGATTTTCAGCTGGAAGTGGAGATATTTGTGAAATTTGGGAAGGGTGGAGAAACATGATGCTCTGAGACCTACAGGCTTTCTTCTGCCCAGTTACACCCAATAAAAGGGAACAATGAGTGCCCCCAAGTAGATGCATAACAAAGGGGCTAGCGCTGAAACCCCTCGGCTCGCAGTCGCCCGGGCTGAGCTGACCACTGTGGGCACATGAGCAAGCATGTCTGATGGGAAGGAGCAAGGTGTGCTTCAGTGGGGTCATGGACATGCCCAGCATGGACACAAGCATTATGCACAGATGATGGGTGACTTGTGCCACAAGTAGCAAGGACCCATGCAGAGCCACATGGGTGTTACAGCCACACCAGGTGACGCAGCCACACCTCGAGCAAAACCTCTCTGTGAGCAAGAGTGCTGGCTTGTATAGGGCTGGGACTGCTGCAGCGGCAGAGTTTCATCAACTAGAGGTGCCCTGTAAATATGGGTCAAGGGTGATAAAAGTTTCTGCATGAGTAATTTTTCTTTTTTCTTTTAACATTAATGGTAACTAATTATTTTTACAGTATTTATTGTTATTTAATGTTTGCATTAATTAATTTTAATTAATTGAAAAAAACAAACCTTAAGGAAATGTTAAACCTTTAGACACTTGATAGGGACTTTGACACAAAACCAGGGAGAAGGTTGCATTACAAATCAGGTCTCGCTCTCATGAGGTCTCTGCCTATCCCCCAGTGGGACCAGGACCTCAGTACCTGCCCTTTCTGTGCAGCCTTACAGCCAGTCTCTTGCTGCCTGGTCTAACAGGCAGTTGTTTATACAGGTGGAGGTACTTCACTGAGGGGTAATGACAGAGCTGCACACCCCCAAATGTTTATGACATGAGTGTACATTCACAGGAAGAAGGTCCCCCCAGGGTCCAGTCACTGCCTTGATGCAGGCTGAGACTAGGTTTTCTTCCAGATATAAAAGCATAAGTATGGATGCAGCCCCCCCTCCCTCCTCTTCAGCAGTTTTGTGATAGGCATCTGCTTTTCTATAAATAGGAACTTAACACTGGTTTAAGAAATTGCTGAAAATTAAATAATTTTGACTTAACTCTTTTACTCTGGATGAAATCAACAGTTTTCAGTTTATCAGATATTCTGACCATGTGCAGTTTTCTAACCCGGTGTGTTGAGTTAAACTGGGGAGTTGTCCCTATTTAATGTTTTTTAACTCTTCCCTGGCAACTTAGGTTTCTCTTCTGTCTTTGTGATGTATGCCTGTAATTCTCCTGTTTCTCTTACAAGTGGTATTTATAAGACAAAACCCCTGCATTTTCACTATACACTTGAATGGAAATAATAAAAGTCAACAAAGAGTCTAATTTAAATGATTTCTCATGAAAGCTAGAAAATCAGGAGATCAGCAGACAGTGGATGCCTGAAATAACTGGGGAAAAGGCTGGGGAAGTTAATGCGGGCACATTAAAGAAAACATCTCTATAAAGGGTCCTTTAATACAGAACATGTCATTTCCAGCTGATATTGTGGACTAACCCCAGTATAAAAGTTGGTCTGAAGTTGATCAGAATTGGTAACAGAGCTGGTCTGAAGATTTCTAGGTCTCATCAAGGACAGAGGATACTTCGGAAATCTTTGGGTGGGACTTTGCCTTTCATCGGGACTTGCCTTGGACCAAAGAAACACTGTGCTGGGCAAATTTAGACAAAAAAACTTTACAACTGCACCTTGTGAGATGCTGAGCCCTTAGTGATGGTCCACAGCACTCCTGAGAGGTAGGATGGCCAGCTGAACAGGGGGGCACCTCGCTGGGCTCCCCCTCAAAGGGCTGAGGGTTGCTCTGCACATCAACCCTGGGCACCTCGAATCCATCAGGGTCTAACAGAATGGGAGGGAGCCTGCAAAGTTTGGGAAAAAACTTTTGCAGGGTGAGAAACTCTTCAGTGAAAAGCAGGGAGAGAAAAAAAAAATAAATCCAAGCAATGTGTTTTGAAAAGTGACAGCGTTTTTACCCAGCACCTCTGCTGACCACCCTCAACTGCTAACCTGCTCTCCTCACACATGCACGCCATCGGAAGCAAACTCACTGCCCCCATTAGCATTTTAAATGGTAAAAACATTTTAAATGGTAAAAAAACATTTTAAAAAATATGAAAGGGGAAGGGACAAGCGAAAGGTGAAAGGGAAGATGAAGGAAAAGGGAAAGACCCACAGCCTCGCTAAGCTTCACCCCCTTCCACCCCATTGAAGAAATCATGGCTTCAGGGGGAAAAAAAAAAAAAAAAAAAAAAAA